GCACCTCATTTGCATAGCCCCTCCCCAGTCGTCCTGCAGCCCTCACAAAGCCCACAACCAGAAGAGCCTTGTTAAGTGATTCGCTGCTCCATAGGCCCCCACCAACCCAAGTGGGTAACGTGAGGCAGAGGAGGTTGGTGACATCCGTGGACAATGTCCCAGGTGGGAGGGCCGGCCCTCAGCAGTGCCACCCAGAGGCTGCTAGTGCTCAGACACAGAGCCAGAAAAAAATCAGGAGTCGGGAGCCTGCTGCCCTCCCACAGAGCCGGCACACGCCTGTCAGCTCTCGTGGAAACACTGGGCTCTTGTTCCACATGGTTGTCTTTCATTGTATTTTACATGTGTGTTGGCCCATGTAAGGAGCTCTGATGACATAGTGCCTGAAGCATCTGACTGCTAACCAGAAGGTTGGTCGTTCAAACCCATCAGCTGCTCCACAGAAGGAAGACTGGGCGATCTACCTCTGTAAAGATTTAGCACCTCCAAAACCGAAAGGAGGTCTCTGTGAGTCAGAATCGACTTGACGGCAGTGAGTTTGTTTTTTTCTTTTTAGTTGGCCCATGTTAGGGATCCCGGGTGGCACAAAACGGTAGAGTTCTCAGCTGCTCTCCAGTCTTGGAGATTACAGTCCACTCAGAGGAAAGGCCGGGTAACCTACTGCCAAAACAAATCAGCCCTGAAAACCCCGCAGAGCACAGCTCCGCTCTGCCCCACACACGGGCGCCATGACGGCACCAACGCCACGGCCACTGGGCTTCACTGTGGGTTCCTGTTGGGCCAGAGGTGCAGAGTGAGTGAGGGCCACTGGGTCGGGACCACACGGAGTCAGGAGGCACGGTCCGTGTGGAGCCAGCCTGCGATGATGACGCCCTCTGGATGTTCCTGCGGTGACGGGTGCAGCTCAGGACCCAGGACCGCGAGGGGTGGCACCTGGAGGCCACACACGTGCTGGGTGCGGAGAAGCAGAGTCCTGGGCCTGCTGAGAACAGTTGGACACCTGGCCCCGGGCAGCACTGCCTTTTGTGTGTCACGGGCCCCAGCAGTGGGGCCACAGGGGTTAGGCACCCGGCTTCTTACGGGAGTGGCTATGCCAGCCGAAAATTGCCCCTGGCCATGCTATGGCACCCAGCTGTGCGTGCGGCACCCACCTGTGCGTACGCAGGCCTTTTCTCCCACTCACCAGTTCCTGCTGTTGTCGTTTTAAACCTTGAGTGAGCGTGTGTGCCCCACCCGTCGCATTCCAAACACTTGTGGAGCCAGGCGGGAAGACTGGTTGCCAGGGAACACACAAGAGAGAAGTCTGTTGCTCTGATCTTCCTGTCCTCGCTGCGAGCACAGCGCGTGTCCGAGGCTTCCTGGAGCCCGTGGGCGGAGCCTGGCCTTGGCAACAGGCAGCTAGTGTTCTCTGCAGAGCCAGCCAGCTTCCTCTCGCTGCTTGCTGCGCCGCTCCTCAGCCCCACAAAAGGAGCACCCCTCCTTCCTCGCCCCACCTCAAGTGCAAGCTCTGTCTCCTGCCTGTCCGGGCAGGAAGTAGGGGTCACCCGCTGGCAGGAAGGAAAATCCCACAGCAGACTTGGAGCTTCTCTAACTAGGGGGTAGCACAAAGGCTGAAGCGCTCATGGTTGGCGGCTGGCGTCCACCCAGAAGTGCCTCAGAAGAATGGCCAATTTATTCCCCAAAAAACAGCCATCGCAAACCCTGTGGAGCACAGGTCCCCCTACTGTGACACAAACGGGGTCACCGTGGGTCAGGTCGACTTGATGGCAGCTGTGTCTGTCTGTGTGTGTGTGTTTTTTCTTTTTTTTAATCAGAGCAGCCGTCCTCTTGGGGTCCCCAGCTGG